CTTTATATTTCATTTGTGGGCAGCACGATGGCACAGTGGTTAGCGCCGTTGCCTCATAGCGAGAAGGTTCCAGGTTCGGGCCCCACCTGGGACCTTTCTGTGCGGAGTTTGCATGTTCTCCCCGTGCTTGCATGGGTTTTCTCCGGGTACTCCGGCTTCCTCCCATAGGCCAAAGACATGCAGCTTAGGTTGATTGGTGTCTCTAAATTGCCCATAGGAGTGTGTGTGGTTGTTTGTCTATGTGTTAGCCCTGCGATGGATTGGCGACCTGTCCAGGGTGTACCGCCCGATTGCCGGCCAGGATTGGCTGTGACCCCGCTCAGGGAACAAATGGTAGAAAATGAATATTTCATTTGTATTTTGTGGCATTCATGTGGACGGCAAAGTAAGAATTTCATTGTACAGGGAAACGCGTTTCCTTACTGTGCATATGACAAATAAACACTTTGAACTTGAACTTGAACTTGGTGTGACTGGGAGTCATTAGTGTCAATGTGAATAACAGTCATATTATATTTAATTTAATATTGACTCCAAAAAACTGTTGCTGTCTATGTCTTTATCTTTAGCTCTGTCTGTCTTTGGTGTTCTTCAATGTAGCTGGCCCACGGTATGTGTCGCCTGGAGAACAGCCTTCAACGTTTAAACCAGTGCAACATGCAGGAGGTCAAGGCTGACATTCTGACAGCACACGAGGTGCTTGACAATGCCAGGGAGTGCTGCAAGGTAGGAGCTGCTCAGACAAGTTTCAAAAACCACAATGAATTATATCATTCTGGGCCAAATAATCCACCCAAATTCTATTTGTGAGACTGAACTGCATGTTAACTATACAGTGGGTACGGAAAGTATTCAGACCCCCTTAAAATTTTCACTCTTTGTTATATTGCAGCCATATGCTAAAATCATTTAAGTTCATTTTTTTCCTCATTAATGTACACACAGCACCCCATATTGACAGAAAAACACAGAATTTTTGACATTTTTGCAGATTTATTAAAAAAGAAAAACTGAAATATCACATGGTCATAAGTATTCAGACCCTTCCTCCTGTCACAGACATAAGTATGGGAGCGAAGGTCAGACATCCTCCCATTTCTTCCTCCAGCACTTCATGAATGAAATCCCTCCCTGCTGAGCGGTGAGTCCCGGATATCGTTTAGATTAAGTCTGCAGTCCTCCATGTATTCTCACTTGTGTTTGTTTTATAATTGATTTATTCATCCACTTTTCTTTCAATAATAAACTATTTAATGTGCAATTCCTGTGAGTTCCTGTGATGAAAGATTCATACTGTCGATTTTTAGTTTTCACCTACACTTTAAAAGTCTTCATCTGAAAGCACTGGTTTGGTTGGCGCAGTAAAAACAACATTTTCCTGTCTGGTTTTCTAATATAAAATATGAAGAATATTTAATTTGACTGATGAGGGTCATTATTATAAAGATAGTGTTTTTGTTTGTTTGGTAAGTACATGTTAAGTACATCTTGTCAGTCAGAATGAAATATCCTGATGTAGAGTACTTTGAAAAGTGCACTCATATGTCATCATAAACCACATTATTATGATTTACCATTTAGATTCATTCTGAAGATGTTAGATATTACCAGGCATCTGAGGAAAAGTACAACCGGGTCATGTACAAACAAATGTTTTCTTTTTCACAGATTTGACACCACATAAAAAAGAAGACAGTTAAAAAAAGGGGAAGTGGCAAATTTACTGAATCTCAAAACTCAAAACTGCTTTGTGTGGTCACACAGCTTTCTCCTTCCCATTTTTATTCAACCACCAAACCTACAACTGCTTTTAAGAGAAGCACATTAAATCACATTTTTGACCATCTTTCCCACATTTTCACACCGACTCATCTATCTGGGTGAAACAGACCAAAATGCCACTGAAGCAAAATGACATGTTAAACATGACGACCAACGTTTACCATCCAACCTGACAGCACTGGAGAGGATCTGCAAGGAGGAATGGCAGAGGATCCCCAAATGCAGGTGTGAAAAACTTGTTGCATCATTCCCAAAAAGACTCATGGCTGTATTAGCTCAAAAGGGTGCTTCTACTAAATACTGAGCAAAGGGTCTGAATACTTATGACCATGTGATATTTCAGTTTTTCTTTTTTAATAAATCTGCAAAAATGTCAAAAATTCTGTGTTTTTCTGTCAATATGGGGTGCTGTGTGTACATTAATGAGGAAAAAATGAACTTAAATGATTTTAGCATATGGCTGCAATATAACAAAGAGTGAAAAATTTAAGGAGGTCTGAATGCTTTCCGTACCTACTGTATGTTAAATAAAAGTCACTAAGCATTTTTATTACTGAGGTTCCAGTTTGCCAAGGTGTTGAACTGAACTGTATTAAACTGATATTTGTTTCCAGTGTTTTACCCATTGTTCTTACAAATGTGACAGGGGAAGAATATCAGAAATGTATTTCAATAGAATGCACTGCAGCACAACACCACCACTACCTTGGTAATAAATCTGGCTGAATTCATAATGCTCTGAAGGTTTGACTAAGAAGGGACCTTATAAGTTTCATGAGTCTGTGGCAGAAGAGTTATACTAGATTGCATTACATTGTATAAGCACACCTAATAAAGTGTAAGCGATGCCATTAATGTTTTTGTCGTCTTCCTCCATGCAGCTGCTTCCCTCGTTGTATGAGGCTAGTATGAAGTGTGCCTCTGATGAAGACTTGGTGAACTGTATCCTCGCTGACACTGCCTCTCTACTGACTAACGAGTTCACTAGAAGCATACAGGTACTCATTTCAATACAGCCACTGTGCACCTTGTCACACAGGCTGGATCAGAGTAAGCTTGGTACTGTAAGTGGTAAACAAAGGGGTCAAACATATATGCTATGTTTACTATTTTATAACTTATAGTGTGTTGGACAGGACATGGTTAAGGCATTGGCTGTACATCTGGTTTTCAATGTGTAGAGTTAAAATTATTGTTTCCCATGCATTCCATAAACAATCTCCTAAGCATTTGTCTCAAAGACTATGTGTACAAACTATCCATGCACACAAGATATTTTTTCTTAATAAAGTATACACACACCTGTTCACACTGAGTAATGTACAACCCCAAAAAGAGCTTAAAATAACAGAATAAAGCATTTTTAATGGCTGCTGGTTAGATCCCAGTTCTTTGTACCAGGTCCTGGTAGAGGATTCTTATCAGTAGAGGTCACACAAGACTGTCTTGTCATTTTGATGGACAGTGTCATAAAGATTCCATCAAAAAAAATTTTACTTGTCAATTTAATTTTAATTTTTAATGATAAGACATTTAATAACATTTTTAATTCATTTTCATTTTATTTCTTAAATAATTAATATGCAGAACAAGCTAATGTGCAGCCACTTCTCATATCAACACCACATAAAGCAGCTGACTTTTTTTGGCAGTGACAGCGGGGCCAATAAAATGTGATTAAACAAGTAAATATGAACACTGCAATTTTACAAAATTTGAAAATTACCATTAAAATATGAACAACCCATTTATAAGAGGGTAGGGTAGTCAGCTGACCTGCTGCTGAGGTGATTGTTACTAGGTTTCTCGTGGCCCTTAAAATTTTGATGTGAAAGCTGAACCCGCACTCTGCTGTGGCACTAGAGACTGGACTTTCCAGCTTCACTTTAGTCTAAGTTTTAAAGTCGGGGAACATTTCTCTCTGGACGTGATTTAAAGTTGCTCTGAACATGGGATATCTCAACCCTGACACACTGGCTTCACAAGGAGGAATCTGCTGCATCCATTCCCTCTGCACCAGAGGCTGCACCCCTCTGTGATCCATAGCAGTCACAGATTTGCTGTTGCTTCCAGTTCGTGGCTCTTTAACGGGCTGTCAGCTCCCAGATAGCAAGGTGCATTGATTAGGTCTCAGTTGTCCTTCATCCACCAGATCATTTCCTCTTTTTTCATCTCATTCTTTAATGTTGTAGCAATTACTGGGCTTTTTAGTAGCCTACCTTTCAGTTAGTGTAGATCGGCCTCTGTCAAAATGACATATGTCCTTCAGGTTGTTCTATCATTATTTTAAAACATTCTGTCAATGACAGAACATATTCGGTTAACATAACCTTTATCAGTCTCAGTATTGACTCATTCTTGGCTCAGACTTAACCATGCTCTGTTTCAGTCACGCTAAGGTTCCAGTCTGTGTCTTCTAGGAGATGACTGAGGAACTGATGATGTGTGCAGAGGCAACGTGTCCACGGGTGGTCCAGCGGTCAAGTGTGTGTGAGTGCCTGTCAGAGTGTGTGTCCAAAAGAAGCAGACAGACAGACGCATTCTTGAAAACCACTCTGGTGGAGAACACCGGGCACATAATCATCAACAGACTGCGGTAATAACATTTATGAAAGAGGGTGTCATTGCATTGTTTATAATTAACCACATTTACACTGTATGATCACCACAAATACTGTAACAGTATACAGGACATCTTCAGTAGAAACTCTGCATTTGTGCAAAGGTTTCTATGGTAAAACCAAGAGCTATGAATGATGATTAGCACATTATAGCAATAGATTCACTTACCAGCTACGTAAATAATTATTTGTGGCATTAGAGATGTTGTATTAGGAGGAATCAGATACATGAAATGATATTTCACTGCAATGGTTATCATTTGCTCACTAAACCTAAAACTTTTTAAAACATTCCAAACATTCCAGTCATTCCAATCCATGAATAACCTTTTGAGCTATGCTGTGAACAAACCAAGAAATGTCAGTAAAAAAGTAATTATCTGGCACACTACCTGTATGATCAGACTGCTCACATACCCTACACAAACACTATAGTAGTTTCCTGGTGGCAGAAAGGAGACCTGCACGTTGGATTATATGAGCCTGGTGCAGGGTTAACGAAGAACCCTCCTTTAAACAGTACTTGGATGGGGATGATGATGATCTGGATCTCCACCAAAATCTGATGGATTTTTCCATGCACCATATCCTACTTCTAAAATAAATATTCAAAATCCATTCATAACTTTTTCAATGAAGCTGTGAACAAACAAACCAGTGCTGGCAAAACATTACCTGCTTCAGTGCCATCATAGTATCTTACATCATGAAGAACTGGTAAACAACAAGAATCTCATTACAGTGTTCAAGAATTATGATTCTTCTTTTAGACTTTACCAACATGACTAAAAATGTCACGTTAAAATAAGTCATTTTGCTTGAGAGCAGGCAGCATTAGAAGTAGGAATTCTTGACCAACAAACTCTGGCATCATTAACTGTATCTCTAAAATCCTGGCCTCACATTCTTGGATGCACCATTGTCTAGTTTGCTAGACATAGCTAACTAAACATAGCTAAGCAAAGTTAAACCCATCGTCTATGTGATAGACAGACCAATTAATGCTGCATGTTTGGACTACTGGGCAGCACGGTGGCACAGTGGTTAGCGCCATTGCCTCACAGCGAAAAGGTTCCGGGTTCGGGCCCCACCTGGGACCTTTCTGTGTGGAGTTTGCATGTTCTCCCCGTGCTTGCGTGGGTTCTCTCCGGGTGCTCCGGTTTCCTCCCACTGACCAAAGACTTAGGTTGATTGGTGTCTCTAAATTGCCCATAGGAGTGCGTGTATGTGTGGTTGTTCGTCTATGTGTTAGCCCTGCGATGGATTGGCGACCTGTCCAGGGTGTACCCCGCATTTGCCCGATTGCTGGCCGGGATTGGCTCCGGCCCCACCCGTGACCCTGTTCAGGGACTAAAATGGTAGCTGGTAACGGTAGAAAATGAATGAATGTTTGGACTACAGTAAATGTGTTCATGTCCTGATAAGAAATACAACTATACACAACTATATGCATATTGATTATCTGGTATAAATCATTATAAGTACCATTTAAACTACTGTAATGAAACTTTATTTCTTCTGTTGGTCTCTCTTTTCATTCACCCATCTAGTGAACTGAGACAAACACTGAGAGCTTCTCTGGCTGAAAGCATCATAGAACAGATACTTCTGGATCTGAAAATGGAACAGGACAAAATGGTGTGTATCATATACATATACTGTATATGTACTGTGTCCAGGACATATTTAGTCTCACTCATAAAGCAACAGGACACTGCTAGCTCTATGAAAACTGAAACAAATCGCCATCTAATAACTTAAATACCTGTTTTTAATGGCACAGAAGAATGACTTTTAAATTTCCTCAGTAACAACAATAGGTACTGCTCTTACTGGTCATTAAAATTACACACCATTACTATTTATATTAATATATGTATATTATTATAAAACAGTATCATATATTTGTTCATACACTGTGTAAAAATATGTTCCCTATGTTGAACTCATTATTAGTCATGATTTATTCCTTATTTACTGTTTAGGATGCACTTATCAAAGAAAACTCATGTAATGCTCTGAAAATCAACGTCCCAGAGCTCCAGCTAGTTGACACCGACTTCCCAACTGATGACGTAAGGGACACACACTCCTCTATCCTTCCATTCATGCTATTATTAAGTCATTCATTTATACACTGGAATTTGCTTTTACATGCTTTTTCTTAATTTTATCCTGTTTCTAGTACAGTCCAGCATTTTGGAGAAATGGTTCCCGCTCCAAGAGTCTGAGGCCTGCCCCTTCTCTCAGGAGTAAGATCTGTGGTTCTCGCTCTTTCACTTCAGTGTCTCTGAATCTGAACCTGAGCTCGAGTCTCTCCTTGTAAAAGCCGTTGGACTGCAAAAACAACATATCACCACAACACAGAAGAATATAAGCACATGTTAAATGAGATACAACAAGTTCATAAGATTACAAAGTAATTTGAATGTATATCTTCTGTAATTTAATTAATCATTAAAGACCAGGGGTAAAACAATTTCACATCTCAAATTAATCATTTAACTGTGCTGATTAAACAGTCTGAGAGCACTGGTTAACTTTTCTGTTAGTTTTTTCTCTGTGATATCTCCACACCAAGCTGTTGGATGCAACTCTCACATATTGACAGTGGTGCTTCTTATTTCGCCACTAGAGGAGCTAAAAATGTTATGGGTGTCCAAAGGGTGGTACAGAAAGAAAATTCAAAAATCTAATTGTATTCTTCCACCTACTGTATGTGCATGAGCTTAACAGGACTGATAAAAGGACTGTGCCATTGTACACAAAATCTTTTCCATCAGTTTTTATTTAACCACCAAATATGTTTGAAAATAATAAAATACCATCATAAGAGGTATGTAAATGCATGAAGGACTATATTAGTTATGGAATCATTAAATAATTACACTAGTTATAAATGAATCAGGATTTATTAGAATATGACTGTATTGCATTTTCAACAACATATTTAATGTATTTTGGCATTACAGCAGCCAGTGCAATATGAACCTGGGCATAAATCTGAACCAGCGATCCCATTATCTCATCTTGTCCCTCTGAATTCTTCAAGCGTGCTGTGCCATACTGAACCATTCTGTGGCAGACACACAGCACTGTTTGTCTAATTGGAGTGTGTCCTGTTTACTTCCACACCAGTGACTTTCACCATGGATGAGATGGGAGGAGGGGGGTGATGAGGAAACATGGGGGGTTGGGTGGTCTGGAGCACCACTGTGCCTTTTGTTTGATAACTCTTAATAAGACAAAATCATACATTCAAACTTTCACATGATTTTGTGTTTCTGTATACTTGTGTTTGACAGATGTAGCTCATAAAAACAACATCAATATTTTTAGTGTCAAAAATGCAAAATACCTTAATTTGAGCATATAATTTGACCTCTGAAATATTTAGACCAGCAGGGAACCGAGAAACTAAAAGAGTGGTTTAATCCTGCCATATTATACTCTGTGTGTCTGCTCTATGTGACAGGATGGGAACTGTGTGACTGCAGCATCCATCTGCTGCTCTATTTCTACAGTCTCCTCTCTGCATGTCTGTGCCTAACTGATTATTTTTCTTCATGTACGTTCTACCAAATACTCTACTATGCCCCTGTTTATTCTTGCTTCCTTGTTTAGTTTCTCCTCCCCCTGTGTTCTAGTCTCACACCTTCCTTCTTTCTCATCTCTGTTCTTGCCGTGTTTTCCATGCAGTATGCAGCTCAGTGTGCCCTAGATATACATTCCAGCAAAAAGTGTGCTCGCTGCATGGGCTTGATTCCCCATCATTCCCTCCCTTCTTCCCTCCATCTTTGTCTCTTTCATCATCTTTCCTTGTTCCTTTCCTCTCATCATTCATACTGCTTTCGCCGTCAGGTCTCCGGGATGCAGACTGCGAGCATCAGGCCAGGGATGGAGGAGCAGAGAGAGAGGGGGGAGGAGGTGCTAGAAAAGAAGAAAAAGGAGGAGGAGGAAAGTGTGGGCTTGCTCAGCTGCTGACAGTTCCCCTGTCAGTCATGGCCACAAGCCCCTCCCCTTCCACATCCCTGTCCCCCTCCCCCCTGGGATGTGGAGGGAGGGGGCGGAGGGAAGGGGAGGTGTCCATGTTGGATGCTGCAGCAGCAATATCGGGAGCGAGAGGAGCATCGTTCATTCCTCCTCCCAGTCTTCCCTTCTCTGCTCGAGCTCCAGAGGAGGAGGCTGCTGGCCACGGAGGCTTATCCAGACAACCGGCTCCCTTCCCTGGCTGCAGCCTCAGCCCAGGCCCCCTCCCCAGCTTTGGATTCCCCACTTCTCTCATGGAGCCTCTACCCACCCAGGGACAGACGCTAAGGCACTACACTGCCTCCCGACCACGGCCACGACACACACGCACACATCCCCCCTCCTCCAGGCCTCAGGTAAGAGCACACATATACCCATAAACAATTACCAATGACCACACATACACACAATTTGATTGGGCATGCAGAAATATTAATCATCATTTGTATCTACATACACACACACTCACATATACTGTATAATCATGCAGAATTTACACAGCATTCACCCAGCAGACAGGATGTGCTTTATATAGAAATATATGTTCAGTAAAAGACATCCACAGTAAAAGGTAGAAAGCAGTATTCATGGACAAAAAGGTGCAGGAATAGAGAGATGGATAAAGAATAGTAGAAAGGATGGATGTAGTATCTGCACAACTATAAAGCATTCCCCCTATCTATCTATCTATCTAGCTTACCAGCTAGCTAGCTGTCTATCTATCTACCCATTGATCCCTGCTGTAGTAATAATACAGTTGTAGCCATCTTTATTTTTGCATTCTCTTGTTCCATGTAACTGTGCTTAGCTTGTGTATGTGTGACAAAATAGGCACATGAATTTTGGGAGTGGTGTTCCCTGGGTTGTTTGCAATGTTGATGTCTCTCTCTCACACACACTCTCTCCTGGGAATGCTTTCACTAACTCAATAATTTATGTTTTCATATTAAGAGGGTCTCTTTCTCTGTGCTGTCACTGTGTAAAAAGAGGATTTCTCTGTATCTGCAGTGACCTTGGTGTGTAAATAGTCTTGTTTCTGATTTCTCTTTTTGAACATACAGATACATATTTGCAGTTTTACAGGCATCAATATAAGGTGGTACTGTTTTTCACAAACACAATCACACATTGCTTTTGGTGCTCCTGTATATGAGACTACATGAAGTACAACCTCGGCTTGTAATGAACAAGTGTGAGTCCTCAGTGGTTACATTTTATTTATTGTTACATTGTTTCACTGTAAAAATGGGTGTAAGTGGCTGGAACATGACAGAAGCAAGGTAAGAGTAAATTATTCATTCAGTTAAAGGTCTGGTTATTGGGCATTGATTGGAAAATAAATGTTTGCCAATCAACCTGCTAGCGTGAATTTTTCCATCACTATTTTAAATGGGAGGAGAGGTTAGCATTAACCTGTTAGCATGTTAGTTTGCTAACCACGAAGAACACTGAGGGAGAAGAGGGGGTGGCAGAAAACTGCTCTGACATCGATTGTATGTTGATCATCATAAGTTTATCAACTCAAAAGTCCTGCATCTGGTCATCCGGAATTTGGAGCAAGTAGATTATAAAACGAAGTTGTACAAATGTGTAGATTACAACAAGTATATGTGGAAATAAGAATTTGAGCACACACAAGGATTATATTAAATCTGTAAAGTCCTCACATAAGTTTAAACCAGGCAGTGTAAACCCCACAACGGTATTACTATTTAACCTATAACAGATTCTTCACAGGGTTGCCAACCCTCAAGAACTGGCCAGGAGAATCCTGAAATAGGTTTAGTCCTCCCAGAAAAATCAAAATTCAATTCGGGAGATTTTTGGTGTTTTTAAAATACTGACTCAACACATAGAAGTCAAATGCTAGGAAAAATACAAACTCAAATGGAATGCAACTCTGGGGCAACAATAGAGAAGCTGAAATTCACAATATAATTTTAATTCAATTAATTTAGGCTGCTTATACTGAAAAATACAATTGTATTGTAGGGATTTTGTATCGTCAGTCTTCTGATTTGATTTGATTTGATTTATTCTTTCAAGCATGTAAAACAGTTGATATGACAACACACATAATTTTACACATAATTCTGCCTTGCATTGTGGCTTTTGGTGTTGAGGTGCTGAAGGGACAACTACTACACTGTAAATGCCATCATATGAAATGATTTTCACTTTCATATTTTGATGATATGAAAGGTCAGTTGTCTCATTTGTTGCTGCACCTTTATCTAGTCTGGCATTGTTGCTCTGCCATGCTCTGATCACTGACAGAGTTGGCAACCCTAGTTCTTCAAAATAACTTCAGTTACAGACTATGTTACTGTTTAATCGGGCTGTAATGATACTTTTGTCACGATAGAAACATTTCTTATTACTGTCATGGGGTTGTGACGATATCTACCAGGATATTACATGTGGTTATTTAACTAGTATAACTGTGTTCAGGTTGTATAATTTGAAACCATTATAGTAGATGGTCCATCATAGTATTTTAGAGCTGTTGTGTGGCAGAAGTTCAGTTTTCCCATTTCAACAAATGACATGGGTGGAAAGGAAACTGAGAAACAATTAACAAATACTGCCGGACAAAGGCAATACTAGCCTCATTTATGACTGAGATAGTCCTGAATACATCTTGCAGAAACTGTCAGGACATGACTGTGCAAAATATTTTAACCGACATGGGCAAAAAAAAAGGACACATATGCAAATCTAACTTAGTAACCACTGTCTTTTCTCTTGAAAAGGTAGAGCACTATGTTGGAAAAACACCTCCAGTAAAGCACAAATGTCACTTTATGCAGCTTGTAGTTTGGCACCTTCTTTTGGGGCGGCTGCGGCTCAGGAGTTAGAGCTGGTCATCTCCTAACCGGAGGATTAGCATTTTGATTCCTGGCTTGTCGAAGTGTCCTTGAGCAAGACATTGAACCCCCAGTTGCTCCCAGTGATGACACCGGTGCGTGAATGTGTGAACGTGAATGAGTGAATGGCCAAATAATGTGAAAGCACTTTGAGTGTGCTGCAGTGCATAGAAAAGCACTATACAAGTAGAAGACCATTCACCTCATTCAGGTGCACCTAGCAACAGTTTGCTCACTACTGCCCTTGGTGGTTTGGGGATGCAACACGTCCACTGATGAAGATCCCAACCTGGTTGGCACAGCTACCAAACAGGAAAAGTACTACAACCACTGATGCTCCTTTTTGATTGCAGCTTGTTTGGTTTGCTACAATATTTGATTTTATTAACAGACCACTACTGACTGCTGCATTAGCTTTTGTTTTTCAAATGAACAAACAGTTAAGTCATTCAGTGCCGATGCTTATTCATGCCAGTGTTTGTAAATGCTTTGGCCATGGCCCAGCTACTTTTATTTTAATAAAGAAGGAAACCAGGAGCACTATTAGTTAAAAAATATTGTATCGTGGACTTTTTATTGTGGCAATATCATACCAAGCCTAGTAAACACCAAGCGTTTGAATTTGCAGCAGTGAAAAGAGGTTGTGTCCAACAACATGACCACCCACCTTGGCGTTGTCTGCTGGTGACACCGAGACTGCTTAGAGCAGTATGTGTTGTTTTAATTGACAAGAAATGAGGCATTGTGAAGTCAAACAGAAAACCAATCAAAAAGCAACCTTTAAGATTTTTTGAGGGGCACGGGCACTTTTTACCTTTATAGATGCAGCCAGTTGGCATGTAGCTCCTGTCTCCGGGGCCCCCCCCCCCCACTTTCTAGTCAAAGATCTATTAAACATCATTAACATGCTTAAGTTATGTTTACAAAACAGTAAATAGTAAAGCATGCTAGAATGAAGAAGAAAACTTCTTTGTGATCATTCATTTGACACAGATGCTGTCATAATCTACAGTTATGTGGGCTTTGTACAACAATACTGTCAATACAACTTCATTAAAACACAAGAGGCAGAATGAGGGTTTAACAGCCGGGTATCACTGCACTGTCTTAACATACAGATTATTAGTTTATAGCCAACTTCTTCAGTCACCTGTCTCTTAAAATGTTCCTCTGCAACTAAACTGCAAAATAAATATGTTTTGTAAGGAATGCGTTTGACTGTCAGATTGTATTCTGATGTAGCAATTTTTGGATGAATGAAACACTGAATTTTCCTACTGACACAGATAAAACAAGAAGCAAGTGCGGAGAGCTGTGAAGGCATAAAGTGCAGCTTTGTCCCAAGCAGCTTCAGTTCGACTCCACCTAGAATTTTGCTCTAGTGTCATTTTACAGTTTTGCTCTGTTTTAACCAAGACCTGAACATTGGCTGTGAACATTTTACTGATAATGTAAATCCGACAAAGCAAAAGAAACATATGTCCTTACAGGATGCAGCCAGAGCTGATCTGCAGTCGGTGTCTAGGAATCCAAATCCACATTAAAAATGACACATGATGAGCCAACCAGAGTGGTTGTTATGTATCTTGGCTAAGATGCATCTCGAACTTGACTGAAGTTCACCTGTGAAATAACTGGACATAGTTTAGAAAGGTACACATCTGTGTATATACACTGAACACAGTTATAAATGCAACACTTTTGTGTTTGCCCCATTTTTCATGAGCTGAACTCAAAGATCTACGACTTGTTCTATGTACACAAAAGGCCTATTTCTCTCAAATATTCTTCACAAATCTGTCTTAGTGAGCACTACTCATTTGCCGAGAAAATCCATCCACCTCAGAGGTGTGGCATATCAAGATGCTGATTAGATGATTATTGCACAGGTGTGCCTTAGCCCTGTGCACAGCTGATGTGTTGCTGGTTGACATGTAAACCAACATGAAGCAGGAGGAGCTCAGTGAACAATCAGTACCTTTTGGAGCCAGTTTAACACTGGAGCAGAGAGCATGTTTTCTTGTAGCTTTAGGAGGCAATAGATGACTGGTCATGAAAAATATCCATTTTTTGTAATTTGGGTGGAAAAGTGTTTACGTGGCCCTTGAAACATCCTCTCCGGTACTTCTAGCACTACACCTCTGATATTAATGTAATGACAGTCAGATTAGATTTCAGAATGATATAACAAAATACTTTGCCTGTTTTTATGAGATACTTTCACGTTAAAACATTTTTCATGTTATTATGACATACTGTATTTTCTCATTTTAATGACATACTGTAGGCTGTTTTGTCATTATAACAACATCCTGTATTTTCTCGTATTAATGTGACCACAGCCTGGAGTGAGTGCAGCGCACATCGTCTTTGAGCAGCACCTCCATAACTTATTCAGTTCAGATGGCTCTCTCTCATCAGCACCCTCCCAGACCGGCTTTCCACACAGTGACCAATGTCTCCAATCCATTAAACTTAATGAAACAAAA